GCCGAGCCCCGCCGGCGCCGGTACCTACCGCCCGCGCGCGAGAAGGGGCTCTCCGTGCACCGCCGGCGCCGAGGCGGCGTTCATGTCTAACCACTGCCTCCACCACCACCACCTCCTCCTCCTGCGCCCGCGCCCGCTCCTGCTCCTTCCCCGCCGCCGCCGCCGCCGCCGCCGCCGCCGCCACTACAGATCCGCAGACACACAGCCAAGATCCCTGACTCTTAACACCAACTCTCTTCTCCGGGGAGGGGAGGGGACGAGGGAAGGGGGGAGGGGGAAACACGCCGAGGCGCACGGAATTGCAAGTTCAGCAAAGAAATGGGTGGGGGGGCTCCGGCGGGGAGACGCGGCTCACTCGGGTCGGGCTGGCTGGGATGCACCCCCCCAGAAAAAAATCTCAACACCTCCCCCGCCTCGCAAAAAAAATACAAACGAAAATTCATCGAGCACCTCATTTTCCCTCAGATCGTCAGTTACAATCTGAAGCCTGAACAGTTCAGTTTTTGCCCGTTTCATCCATCGGAGGCACTTTGAAATTTATTCGAGTTTACATCCCCTCACTTCTTTCTTTCTCTGACTCTCGTTCCCTCTCACTCACACATCCACACACAGCAAAGCAAGTTTATACTAGGCTGCAAATACACGTGATGCAAAAAGACTTTGCCAAGAGGAACAATATTTTTCTTTTCCATATATAAACCAAGCCACATTTTGCTGGGGAGATTTTCATTTCGGTAGTTTTGCATTGGGGGCGAAACCTAAATTGCATACTTTCTTTCCCCTCCCTTTTAAGTCACAGATTAGTATAGCTGCAAACTTCGCCAAAAAAAAAAAAAAAAAGGCAATTTTTGAGGGTGGATGTTGTTTTGTTTTTACACTTGAGTTCCTAGCCACGCTAAGTCCCCGTTCGCCAGCACTGTAAGTTTTGAATTCAACATTTACCATTACAGGCCTTGCATGCTCTTAAAACATACTTTTTCACATCACTTTTTAGGATTAAAATTAAGCTTCATAATTCTATCGTTTCGTAATAACAAGCGTGCTTTATCCAGTATATGCAACATACGCTATTTTAACGTGTGTTAAAATACACATTTCTGAAACCCTGTAATTGCTAGATGTGCAAGTACATACACAAAATGCATGCACACACTTTTTCCCATTGGCAATTATTTAATAGGTTGTTCCTTTTGTTTTAATAAAACATTGGGATCGACATTTTAAAAATTAAATTCAATTACAAACAGTTTACTCTGACAGCAAATTGTAACGTTACCTTAAATGGCCACAAATATGCTCACAATATTCCAAGGAAAGTGACTTTAAAAAGAAAGACAAAAATCTTCTGCAAGTACTTAGTATCTCACATGTGTATCCCCCAAAAAAGTATTTTAACTGGTACTCAGTTCTGCTCCAGGGATATCCACAGAATACAAGATTATGCACCTGGCTCTGGTTTTTGCATTTTCCACCATAAAACTGCAACAAAATTCCCTCCCCCAAAAAAGAAATCATTAAAAAAAAAAATCCAACAACTTTTTCTTATTGTTTATAAAAAAAATATCAATACAGGATAGTTAGAATTTTTCCTCAAACAAATCTCGTTGGTGGGTTTTTTTTCTTCTCCTCTTATAAAGTCTTAAACTTGTTCCAAGTTTAGAGGTGTCTCATCATCATCATCCTCCTCCTCCTCATCATCATCACCATTGACTCCCCCGCGGAGTCACATTGATAATAATAGGTTTCCCTGAAAGATACATTGTAATCCATTCACATCCGGGCACTGCGGGCTTATAAAGAGAAGGCGCTGCGGCCGCGGCTGCTCCTCCAGACAATGACTGGGGAGGGGCGGGGCGGGAGCGAGCGGCCATAGAGTAGTAAACAGAGAGCCTAGAGAGGCACCCAAGATGGCGGCGCGTGCGGGCCACGCCTCCTCCGGGAGCGGAGGCGGGTGGCGGAGCTCCGTCTGGTGTCGCGAGTGGGGCCGAACCGTAAGGGCTCGTGAGGTTGGGGCTGTTCGCAGGCCCCGTGCTCTTGCGCTCTTCTTCTTGTTCCCTTTCCTTAGTCTTCCTTATTTTTTGTTTTTGTTTGTTTGTTTTACTCAGAAGTGTAGTTTCTAAATAAATTAAGGCATTATACGCCACAGAGTTCCTCAGGGGAGTGAGATCCCCTGGCCCACCCTGAAGGGAGGCTGGGGAGAGGCCGCGCTGGTTCCACCAACAGAAAGCCAGAGCCCGGATTCTTCCGCAGTGTGGAGCCAGTCCTCGTAGCCAGGCTTGCGCAGCGTGGGAAAAGGCCGCTGAACCATGTTGTAGTTCCTGGGCTTGAAGAGGGGTGAGGGTCCTCTCCTCCACTACCCCACCCCATCTTTTTCTAGGACCCTGGAAGAGTGAGAACTTTGTAAGTCCAGGAGGTCTTCACTCGGAGAGGACTTTAGTTCATTGCGTCGTAGACTCAAATCGAGTCTGTACCATGAACCACTACTGACCCAACTTACAGTTCTGGCCAAGCAATTACCTTCTCTAGCCAGTTTTCTGCTCTGTGACATGCAAATAATGATCAATTTACGAATTTCATGAGTTAAAGGGATACAGATAAAGAGGGAGCCACCACAGAAGAAAACTTCCCTTTCCATCTCTAGTTCCTCGCTAAACCAACCGATATCGCTAATCCAGTCCAAGGGTTTTAAAGGGAGATTTCGCTATTCCACCAGTATATTAGTAGCCCCACAGGAGAAAAGCGAGTAATAATAATGATGGGTTAACACTTACATAGTGGGTTTACTATGTGCCAAACACTGTTCTAAGAATTTCTCAAATGTTGGCTGCTCTAATCCTGAGAATGACTCTATAGGGTATTTTAAAAATATTTTTATATTATATATTTTATATACAGAGAATCAGAAGCAAGCCATGTTGAGTGGCTTGACCCACGGCACTTTGGTAAATGACACAAACTTGTCTAAAATTACACAACTTTATTAAGTGATAGAACCCACGTTTGAAGCCAGGCAGTCTGGGATCCGAGTCGACATTCAGCCACCTTCCTATACCATCTGGCAGCAGGAACCGCCTAATCTCCATTTTCTGATGCAATTTTGTGGCAGTAACAGAGTTCAGATCAATTTTCAAGATCTTTAATTCATATGTAAGTTTTTAGAAAACAAGAATTAGGGCATTTATAATTTGTTTCCTGTGTATTCACACATTGTGAAGATTCTTTTCTTCGATCCCCATTCCATGTTCTCATCTTAAAATAAATTTTACATGTAGACACTACTTTACACTGCATTATCACTGCATTTTCTGTGATCCTCAGAGTAAGCCTCTACAGGGCTGTACTGAGATGATGTAATAAAAAGTTCACAAACATTTGTTTAGGAGAAATATTCCACTGGTTCTACCTCTAATCAACTCTGTGACCTAAGGCTTGAAGTCAATGTCTTACCGTAAAATACAGAGGCTGGAAGATAATCCCTTAAGATTCTTTCTTAAGAAAGAATTAAGAAAGAATTCTCCTGAATTTCAAGGGGAATAAATGGTCTGTTTGGAAAGAAATGGTAGGATCATGTCTGAGACCTAAATGCATACAACTGATGGCTAGCACTATTTTTTTTTAGATTTATTTATTTATTTGAGAGAGAGAGCAGGAGGAGAAGCAGAGGAGGAACAGAGGGAGAGAGAGAATCTCCAGCAGACTCCCTGCTTGGCATGGAGCCCGAGGCAGGGCTCGATCTCACAACCCTGAGATCATGACCTGAGCTTAAATCAAGACTTGGATGCTTAACTGACTGAGCCACCCAGGCGCCCCTAGCACTTTTGTTTTAATAACACCCGACAGTCTGAAAACCATGCAACCACCCTTCCTATCTGAAATTCAGGGACAAATGTGGATTGCTTTTGGTTTTGTTTTGTTTTGTTTTGTTTTCCCCCCGAACTATCAGAAGAATAGATATATCTACAAAGTTATACTTACGAAGATTAGAGACACCTTAGAAAGAAAGACTCAATAGAATGTTGTGAAACTTGGATGAAAAGATAAGTGTAGCAGATATGTTTTGGGATCCATCTACAGACTCCCTTCTTCAAAAACCTGCCTATAAATCCTGATATAGAGGTAGAACTTGTTGTGGGTACCACATGACTCCTTCCTGTCCCAGTCTCACCAGCCCCAGCTGATTGGATCACAGGAACTAAAAGAGGAAGAGATTGACAGTAGTCTATGCTGAGTGATAGATCTGACTTGTTGGAGTCAGCTGGCCAGGGCTGGTGCCAGGAAGCCAAACCATGTGAGCCATGGTTATGGGGAAACAAGAACCATGAGTAAGCAGAGGAAACTGCTCTTCAGATAAGAAAGATCTTGGAAGTTCTGAGAAAAGAAGACAACTTGAGTCCTAGGAAGAAATGAGTAGTAGAGATCCTTTCCCAGTTATTATGAGGGCCACCTTTCCTCCTGTCACAAGATAGCGGACTCCTGTAGTGTTCCCCTTCCCCAACTGAGCTAACCTGAGTACTTTTCTGACCCTTGCCACTAAAGAATTTAGAAAAGCAAAAGATTCTTTAGATTTCAGCGTTTCTAAACAGTCCTTAACATTAAAAAAATATAATAAGTAGTGACCACTATTCTAAGGTGTAAACACTGGTCCACTTCCACATGGTAGCAATTCTGTCCAATTAATTGTGCCTCATATAGTCAGGACAGTATATACAAATGTCATCCCCCTTTCTACTGTGTTGTAACCTTGAGCAAATTTCACATCTTGTCAGAAGTAAAAAAATTAACTTGTCTTCAGTACTTTACATGATTGGTTAAAATCAAATGAGATGGTAGAGATGAAAGTACTCTGAAAATGACAAATTATTATGAAATGTAAGGCATCATTCTTGCATAAACTAAGTTGATGCCTAAAGATAACATTTAATTCATAGGTTTATGGAAGGAGTGGCAAATATTGAAACCCAATGAGTCATAGAAAAGAACAGACATTGAAGGGGGCTTGGACCAAACCCTTGAGTTTAGTTCAAAATTTCAAGGTCACATCACTAATGAGTTACAGAGGCAGAAGTAGCCCTCCCCTGTAACTGAATGCCAGTCTAGAATGCCATACCATTCCTCTTCAAATTTCATCCAGTTGGATCTCCCCC